CAGTTAATATCTTTAGACTTTTGATGTTTTATGAAATTAATATATCTGCTGTTGACTTACAAGAATAATGTATTTCCTTTTTTCCAGCTCAGTAGTTCTCATTCATATGAATACAGAGAAAAGCTGTGTGATTTTCCTAGTTGTCTGTGCATTCAGGTCGTAGAGCAAATGGCTACATGTGTAATGTTTTCATTTCCACCCGACGGCTCACTCCCTAGATACTGTGCTGTTGATTTTCTGCTCAGATTTCCCACATTTTAAATGTATTTTGTGAGCTTTTCCTCCTGGCAGAACACTGTATACTGTACTGGAGCAAATGTGGCTTTTCTTTGGGTTTTGCATGTAACATTTCCATTTCTTGCATAGATGAATGAGTTCTTTTTTCCTTACTATTAGGGCCATGCCTTGTGGAAAGAAACAGGGTGGTGAAGGGAAAATATTTTGAGACCTTGCCTGGTCTTTTTTTTTTTTTTTTTGGTCTTATTTTTAGGAGAAAATTTCGAAACAATATAATAGGAGGGTAACAATGGTTAATACCTTGTGTATTGTTACCTTTAAATTAGTTATTCAGAGTATAAAATACCAGCATTTAATTGTCCAAACAGTATTAGCACAAACTTTTTTAATGAGCTAAGAAAAATTAGTATAAATCTCCCCTTTTCTCCATTCCTCCGTCCCAGTTTATCTTTCAAGTTTCTTTCCATTTACAATATCTATTGTACATTTTGGATCTTACTCTTGTAGCTTCTCACACTAGGGAGACAGTGTGATGTTTAACACATGTGCATCTGGTTTATTTACTTACGAGTATGGTCTCAGGTTGCATCCATTTACCTGTGAAGATCCCTCTTTATGTCTGTGTAGTAGTACTCCATTGTATAAAAAGATCACATCTTTTTATTCATTTGATGGATGGACATTTGAGTTGTTTAAAGATCTAGCTATACAAATTGTGCTGCTGTAAACTTGGGTGCACATATATCACTGTGGTATCACTGTGATGTTTTTAATTCTGGGGAGATGCCCAGAAGAGGAGTAGCTGGGTCCAGTGGGACCTTCACTCCTAGTTTCTTGAGGAATTTCCATATTGATATCCACAATGGTTGCGCTAGTGTACACTCACAGCAACAGTGAAGAAGGGTTCCTTTCCCTCCACAGCCCACCCAGCATTTTTTTTCCCCTCCTCTCCCTCTCCCTCTCCCTCTCCCTCTCCCTCTCTCCCTCTCCCT